ATTCTTAACAACCCTTATAGGACCAAATCTTGTAGGCATTACGGTCTTTGAGATATGAGCGTTGAAAGATGAACTTTTTTGCGACTTTTGGACTTTTTGTGTGGAGAGTATACGAAATACTGGTGCTACTGGTGTTTATCAGTCAAAATATTGACAGGTCCACAAATTTTACGTCACTAACACACTGGGACCAATGTTGGCACCAGTGCGATCCTGGCCTTAGCCTACGTTGACATTTGTTAGTGACGTAAAATATGTGAACCTGTCAATATTTTGACTAATAAACACCATTATTTCATATACTCTCCACACAAAAAGTCGGATATCGAAGACTGCAATACTTACAAGATTTCGTCCCATTTAAAGGTTGTTAAGAATTAAATACTCTACAACATATCAAAAAATGGGCAAAATTCATAGAGCCCAAAAATCCCATGTTAGGTGTGCGTTATCCTTTTAGTATATTTGCGGTGAGACCATCTTTGCCTGGAGATTTCTTAGATTTTAGAGAATTTATCATTTTTAGAACTTCTTCGGTATTTTTAGGTTTAAGTGTTAGTTGGTTTCATATTTTTGTCTCTTTGAATTTTATATTTTCATTGGATTTTATCTGTTGAATATTTGGTTTTTTCTTGCAGTTGTTATTTATATTTTTTTATACATGTCCACAGTTTATTTCTATTATTTAGGTTTTCCTTTAATTGTTTTTGATAGTAGGTACCTACTTTATTTTTGTTGCTCTCAAAAGGTTTGGAAGTGTGTAGCTGTAGCGTGTATATTCTAGATTAATATTTGAGTCGTTTGGTCTTTTTTGAAGTTTTTTATACAGTATGTTTTTGTGATTTATAGACTTCATTAAGCCAGGATTGGATAACGAATCCCTTCTTCTTATTTCTATCCTTTTGAGTTATTTCATTTGCGTGCATTGGCTAATGATTTCTTTTAAGGAACCAACACAAACACCAGCACCACAGTTCATATCTTTTTCCTTAAAAACACTTTCCCAGCTTTGGTTCTGTATTTACCTTTTCAGTAAATCTCTGTCCAACTAATATTTGAATTTTTCATAACTTTTTGTTAGACAAGTGTTACTCAGAAAACTTTTTATTTGCAAAATTTGACAATAGTGATCAGTAATTTTAGATTTGAATACCTACTAGAGATTTCAAGGGAATTTGCTCATTCTTTGACTTATAAAATATATTATGATTCAGACATGATTTACGCCAAACAGTTTAGATATTCATTCTTTATTCCTGACTCTGAGAGCAAGTTTATATTTATATCACCAAGAACGATATCAAAGTCAAAATTTAGGCTAAATTTCATGTGAATAATTCATTTATAGATGGTGATCTATAAAGAACTATTAATCGAAAATTGTTATTGTTTTTGTTTAAAGTGAGATAAACGAGCAGTGTTGTCGAAGCTACCGAAATTTCGGTATTTCTACCGAAATGGCAACGAACATACCGAAATACCGAATGCTGATGAATTTTTACCGATTTTCGACAATAATTATTACGATTCTACCGAGTTTTTTACCGTTTTGCGCCAAAAAAAACAATTATATCGGTTTTGTTTTCGCCGATTTATTATAGGATTATTAATTTTAATTCATCAAATAAGGTAGCTATTATTAAGTCACTTAAACATAGAGCAAAGCAATTGTCTGACTCTCAGTATATGGATGTGAATTTTGAATGAATAAGGGTATTTTGTGAACAAAATCACCATCCTCTATTTTCATAGAATAGGATTTTGTGTAATAATGCTCATAGTGTTCCATCTCCTAATCAGGTTCAATCTTCTTATGTTAAGTTTTTCAAAATTACATTGATTCCGGGCTTAAAGGGGGCGTGACCCAAAAATAAAAGTTTAGGTGCAAAATAATAAATATTTAAACCGCATCTTACTACTATGGTCCGTTTTCGAGTTAGGGCGGTTTTAAGTTACAACTAGGTGTTTGTGACGTCACACCGAATTATCAGGCACAGTATTAACACGTGTAAAATTTTCCAAAACAAAACACAATTATCTCACTACAGCGAATTGCAACCACTCAAAGTATAGGGTACGATTCACTGACGACTAAACGAACAGAAGACTGCGATTTTGGCGGTATTGACATCACAAGTTCCTGCATAATTTGTCTTCACAAGGAATTTTCTCGGAGTCTATTTTGAATAGAGGACTGCTGTTTTCACGAGATATCTTAGATTTTTTTTTTCTTGATTCGAGTAGCTTAAGTCGTTTTTAAGGGTCACACCCCCTTTAAGTACTAAGTTGTCAAAAATCTTACCAACACCAAGATAACATCAGGGTGGTTCCTTATACAAACAAGAGAGTAGGTGACTTATTTACTAAAACCAAAGACAAAACCGCTATCTGTGATAGTTCTAACTTAGTTTATAGGATTGATTGTATTCATTGTGACAGATTGTATATAGAGGAGCCTAAGCAAAAGCTCTCAAAGAGATTATATCAATACCAATATGATTGTCGAATTCTTCATTCTGAGAGTGACCATCATTTCGATTTTAACAATCCGTCAGTGTGAATAATGTATGAGACAGGAAAACTGGAAAAAGCGAAAAATTCTGGAAATGTTATTTATCAATAAATATAAAACCCATGCAGTTAACTAAAAAACTGATACCAACAATTTGAGCGCATTGAGCGCAATCTATTGCAATTTGATCAATTTATAATTTGTTGCTTTCTTTAGGTATAGTTAATAGACAACCCTAGCACGTTCAGTAATAATAACATTTTTTTTTTAAATCTTCTCGTTAGGTGTCACTGTGTTGACTGATAATAATTAATTTGTTATTGTTTTTGCTTATATCTCTGTAATCACTTTGTCCTTCTAATTTTCAATTTTTTATATTTTTGTGTTTTCTATCTTTTTACCATTTTTATCAATGTATTGTGATTTTGTCATGTGCAATCTGATGTTCCATCCTAATAATCTCGCACTGTTTTATATAATTTTGGCATCATATTTTTTTAAATACAAGGTATGTGAAATTCAATTTCTTTGTTAGCACTTTTTGATGTTCCTAATACATATTTTAGCCCTGATGAAGCCCTAAACTTTTGGGCGAAACGTTGGCAAAGACTAAACAGGCCTTTTATTTTTCTTGTCCTTACCGACGAATCACCCCCTTTGGCCCTTTATAAGGATAAATATTAATAATAAATTTTAAAAACATAATCAATTTTTTTTTGATACATAGAATAAATCTTATAATTGAATTTGATCCTCTGAAATTCCCCCAATTCCCGAAATAATTTTTGCCGATTATCCCGTGGCTTCGTAGTCGGCGTCGCGCCGTGATATTTCAACGTCGTGCCCTTCCGCGTGTACGTGTGACTGATCGTCATCTGTTCCTAAGCCCCGCCAGATCCGACCATGACATCCTTCTCTCATCTGTCTTAGCACACATCACATTACCGTAGATTTTTGCATCGTGTTGTGCTTAACTTGAACCCTCTAAGTAGGCAGTAACATATTGATAGCTTTTTTTTGTGGGCCTACTATGTGTAACTCTGGGAAAAAAAAAACTTTATTTTTAGACACATCTGCTTGGGATCCCATATTCGGTTAATTGTTTTTCATACATATTCAAAGGATGTACACACACCACACACTTTTAAAAATGGGATCACCAAACAATATTGATATATGGGTATTTATTCTTTGACAATAATTTCGCTCCTTTGTTTCATTTTTTTCTGCACATTTTTGCTCTTTCAAATTATAATTGCCAATAAAATGAAAAGAAAGAAACAAGGTGTATTTCATGCAAATTTTGTTTGATGAAATTCAGCGTAGTAGAGCGCTTTCGGCTTTCGCCATCATCAGTACTACCACTACCTGCAAACGAACGAAGAAGAAATTCATATTAGAGCAGTTGTAAATATGTATATAATAAATAAGTGGATGGAAATTTTTCAAATTCTTTCTCTTTACTCACTTGTCAGGTTCCGGAACAAGAGTTAAAATTTTAAAAGGACAGCGATGACGAGAATAAAAAGCATTATGACACGACGAGAATTACAGATCTGTATACAAAAGGTCACATACAATAAAAAAACTTTAAATATATTACACGCAGTTAATATAAAATGAATTATTTCTCTCGAGGACCGCCAGACAGTCAAGATTTGAATATAAATATAAATTTTAAATTTTCCTGTGTGTTTCACTTGATTATTGGAAAATATAAATTGTTGAGGATTTTTGAAATTTCTTTGGAAAACACAGGTATTTTTACCAAAGCTTCAACACACTGTTAATTACTAATACTATGAGTTTGTATTACTCTGACACGGTCAGATTTATGTAATATGTGGTTTTGCTATTATAAGACAATGGGTAAACCTGAATCTCTAAGTTGTGAGCCTTCGCTGATATTGCACTGCCGCACAAGCCTGTTATGATAATCAAACCGTTACTTGGAATCTACAAATAGACCCAAAAATTTCGCTGAAGAGCCAGTCTCGATCGCTTCGAACCGAAACAACCTCACCCAGGTCTCCCTTAAAATTTAGAATATATGTTTTGCTGAAATCAAAGCGGAGCTTATTTGATTCATACCAATCCCTAACTGCCCTCACGATGTCACGAAGGCTCATGGGGCTCCTCTGTGTTGCCAGAGAATGGTAGTGTCTTCAGTAAATGGTGTAAAATAACCTTGAGAAATTGAGTGTGTAAGGCCATTAACATAGATAAGGAATAGCAGGGTCCCAACAATGATCCCTGCGGAAATCCAGCAGTCAAGAGTCCCACAGCAGACTGCTCACCCTGAAACTCCATAACCTGCTGGCGCTCTAAAAGATAGGACTTAAACCAGAGCAAAATTGTGTCTCTAAAGCTATATGTAGCTGTTCCTCAGCAACCATACAGGCCTAAAAAAGAAAGAGTCTGGTACAGACAGGTGTGCTCAACTCCATTGGACAGACAATATGAGAAATAAAAAAAAAAACAGAAAACATTCCATATCAAAATTTAATTGCAATATTACAAAATACAAAAAAAAATCAAACATAATTTTGCGTGTAAAACATTGAATCAAAAATTTATAAGTGTGTGCAGAATTAATGAAGGTTAAGAAATTACCAAAATATATCTATACTATTCGAAAGCTTCATCTTGCTTCAATTCTTGCTTTAATTCGATTCTCTATAATGATGCAATCACTTCAAAGAAGCACATCTTCAAGAATGTGGGGGTAGCTTCCCTCCAGTGTGCCAATCCAAAACTCACAATATCACCATGAGCCTGATGAGCCAGTACTTGGTTTCCGCCTGATGGCAAAGCTATTCCATGGACGAAAGTTCCCAAAGCAGTCTAGAAGAGAAAAAATTCATGATTGAATGTGAAAATTAATTATTCAGACAAAATCCCAAACTTACGACTAGATCTCTGAGCATTAAGTTTCCATTAACGTCCACTACAAAAACTGCATGTTGAGGAGGTAGATACGTCGATTCGAGATACAAACCGGCTTTTTTACTTCGCCCTACATCAGTTTCCGCTAAACTTTCCAACTGAATGATTGACTTGGTAAAGACTTGCCTCAAACTCCATTTTGCAGCACTCTGATACCAAAGATACTCCATGGTACACGAAACAAAGAAAATACGTTTTCCGTACGAAAAGTTGAAAGTTTACAAAATAAAAACGAATGTCCTTTTTTGCGTTACGTCTTTACGTTGCGGCCGTTCGTTGTGTGTGTGTCTCCCCTGCCGTTGGCTTCGCTGGCTCGGAGATGGAAGATACCATTATTTTTTCGAAGGGGTGAGCGGTAGTCGCTAGTCGCTCTTGCGTTACGTCATCAGTAGGCGAACAATATGGCGTTCGCGGTCATAACGGGATAAGACGGCGGAAGGCGCCAACAAGCGACATATCTAAGTCTTACGAATAATTAGTGATTAATAAATGATTAATTTTCATTGCTCACAAATCTTAGATACAAGAGTCGTTTCAAAACCGTTCTTGAAACGGTTTTTTGGCGGGTTGGAACATACTTAAAGGGGGTGTGTCCCTAAAAAACGATTTAAGATAATTAAATCAAGAAAAAAAATCTAAGATCTCTCGAGAAAACCGCAGTCATATATTCAAAAAAGTCTCCGAGAAAATTCCTTGTGAAGATAAATTATGCCGGAACTTGAGACGTCACAACCTCCGAAATCGCAGTCTTCCGTTCGTTTAGCGTCAGGGAACCGTTCCCTATACTTTGAGTGGTTGCAATTCTCTCTAGTGAGATGATTATCTTTTGTTTTGGAAAAATCTTACACGTGTTGATACTGCGCCTGATAATTCGGTGTGACGTCACTAACACCTAGTTATAACTTTAAACCACCCTAACTCGAAAACAGCATAACACCCAGAGCCGGTTTTACATGGGTTGCTATTGGGTGCTATAGCACCGGGCGGTAAATCTGTAAATATAATAAGAGCGGTGCGCGGAGAGAGGTAATATAGTTAAAGCAGTCACACTCACATACGATATTTGTTTCAATTGCATTCACTCTAGTAGAATTGGGACCAACGTCGACTTCTTTATCTCTTGACATCTGGCAACCCTGTGTGTGCTAGTGTGCACTGGCGGCTAGACATAGGATCGCGATCCAATGTTGCCAAATCCTCCTTTCAGAAAGCGCCAAATTTAAAATAGATTTATATTGCGGATAATGTTACAATAATAATTAAAGGTTAATTTCTGTTATACAATAAATAAAGTCTCGCATGATTAGTAGGTAATAAATTAATCCTGTTATAGATATTTATGTTATAAGGATCATAATCACGATCATTATGGTATTAATGAAAAGTCGGTTTTCGGCTTATTTGGACTTTATTTAATGAAATATCTAAATCAACAGCCAACGTTTCGACGCATTCCGCATCATTCTCAAGTACCGAAACATCACGGCAAGCAATAGTACCGCTCTTTGGTGTGTGAACTTTTTTGTTTGTTGTTATTGATGAATCGGTCCGAATGATGCGATTCATAGCTTTAATAATCTAGCCTTGAGAATGATGCGGAATGCGTCGAAACGTTGGCTGTTGATTTAGATATTTCATTAAATAAAGTCCAAATAAGCCGAAAACCGACTTTTCATTAACATATTCCTGGACGAAAACCACACTGTGTAATTATGGTATTAGCCGTGAATATTATTAGACGAGGCGTTAGCCGAGTCTGATGATAACACGGCGTGTGCCATAATGATTGTTTATAATCCAATTTTCATACAATATTTTATATTCCAGAAATTGTAAATTATTTTAATCGTTAAATGTTGTCTTCAATAAATTTTTCATATTTTTGCCTACTAAACCTACCTATATTTTTTTCTCATTATAGTACTTATGATGAGATCTCATTATACTACTTAGTACTCTAATGAAATCGCATTAAAGTACTCAATCCAATAAATTATGTCATTTTGACACTACAAATGAGATCCATATTAATGTCATTTTGACACGCCGGAATATAAAAATAGAAAATAAGTAATGGTAATACCTATTAAGATAAAAATATTAATATATGGTATATTTTTTCGTTGTGAATTTATCTTTAGGTAGGTACCTACTTATAGTAGTTATTCAAAAGAAAGAAGCGAAAGTATTTACCTAAAACTAAAAATAAAAGGTCAAAGTTCTTTAAAAAGTATAATTAGGTTTTTGTACTAAGTGATGTCGTAAATATTCATTTTTCTTAAAAGATATTCCACACTCGTCGCATTTGAACATTGTTACTTCACACGCATATTCAATGATCACTTTATCATTAAGTCCATAAACTTCACGTCGATGTCGATTATAATTACTTTGAGTCGAAAATACTTTATCGCATTCAAAGCAAAAAACACCCATTTTGAAATAGTATTCATTCGTATTCGTGCTCTCAAAAAAAATTAGAAACAAATCGTACACAAATCAAAAATACAAGCAATAAGCGAGCTACTAAATACAATATACAATACTACTAGCTTTGTTTGTTTATTTGCACCAAAGAGATCAATGAAAAAGACAGACTGACAGAGACAGCCAAACTTGGCTCAATGGGGTGGGCGGGCACGCGCCTAGCATCGAAATCAATTTGGCAACGTTGGATCGCAGTCCTATGTTTAGCCGCCAGTCTAGTGTGCTGGTCGACTGGCGAAACTCGAATAGATACGATGAAGTGCTTTCCAACTACTCCGCCAGAGCAGCGGGGGGATTGCGAAAACACGACTCGAAACGGACTCTCGATACGAAAGTGAATACGCATCGACCAGTCAAGTGACTTTCGTCGAAATACATTCGCATGGAGTGCGTTCGAAATCAAAATTTCGGTGTGACATGGCGGTTTCGGTTCGAATCGAGAGTTCGTAATCCGCCCCCAGCTCAGGGTGCGGATTCTTGACTCAGGGAATACAGTTCATCGATAGAACGAATGTTTTGTCAAAGTATAAAGTAAACAAGAATGATAAAGACGAAATATTTGTTCCCTCGAGAAGCTCTTCTCCTTGAGTCAAGAATCTGCACCCTGAGCTGCTCCGAGTAACTCAAGTGCGTCACTGGAAAACACCTCATGCCATAACTCATTAAAATTGCCGCTGATGGGGGCGCTTAGCTTAGGTCAAAGTTTGGTAATCGCACTCGGTACAAATTAAAATTTTGAATTTATTTCTATTGTGTTAAGTCCCCGTTTATTTATTATATTCATTATTTCCTGGAATATGTTCTAAACAAATCCAAACTAACACAAACAATAGGTCTATTCGGACTTAGTTAAGAATCAGTTCTGAATTTATCTGCGCTTACGCATTAGTTTATATATGTTCGATATAAACAAATGGGCAAGCGCAGAACTGATTCTGAACTATGTCCGAACAAACCTTTTAGCTTTGTTTGTTATTTTGCACGGTTGTACCAACATGGCATTAACCGACACTTTCTGCACCAATTGTTGTTGTTGTTCCCTATATTAGCCGCTTTCCAGCTGTGTGCTTCAAGCACGGTGCAGCACAGTGTTCTGTGTTTGAAACGCAAAAGTTAGCAGCTCTAGAAGCGCAGTACGACTGGAACACGAGCACGCGCTTGAAGCATTTGCGCGCGCAAAAGCTCAATTGCGTGCTCAAAATGGTCAGCTGGAAAGCGGCTATTGTTAATCCCTATGACTATCCAAGATGCTGTCAAACTTAAATAAAGATGTCCGCCAAGAGGCACACAAACCCTTTGTTTGCTTGTTAAAGGCATGTGTTTTGGATAGCAGGCGACTAACCAAAATGCTGTCAAACCTAAATTAAAATGTCCGCCAAGAGGCATACGAACCCTTTGTTTGCTGTCAAAGTTACGTGTTTCGGATAGGCTAATATTTTTGAATCTGACAAAAAGTCTGACAGACTTTTTGATTAAGTAAGGTTATTAGAGATGTAAAATACAGTTACTTTTGACTACTCATAACTATTCGTTACTTTTTAGTAATGTACTCGTTACTAAATATTCGTTACTCAAATACTCGTTCTGACTGGAATATATTATTGAATTTGGTCGAAGGTTGAATAAACAAAAATATGTATGATGATAATAATATTTATTATAATATTATTTGGTATAAACAACAAACAAATACAAATAAATTAACCCAGCCTGTAAAAGATAGTGATAGAAATATATCTTTCATTCGACTACCTTGCCTTGCTATTGCACTCACTCTAAAGTATTTTCGAAACAAGGCGGTGCAACTGCACCGTAGACCGTAAACAGGACGGGGCATGGCAACCCGAACACAAATTATTGCCCTGCCCTCGCTCCGTTCGGTTAGACGAACTCGAACAAATTTTTTTGCGCACTGCACTTTCAAAATGCGAGCTCGATTCGAGTACTCAAATAACTATAGCGCCAGCGAATTTTATATTCGTTATTTCGGATCCGGGCAAGTTACGAGTACTCGAGTAACGAATAGTTACTTTTCTGACACCTCTAAAGGCCATCCCAGACAACTTTGTATAACGCATAGCATGGCGCATAACCATATGTAATGGTCTATGCAAAACCAGACAAAACACACAAAACCTAAACCATAGGGCATTCGACCAATCAAATTAGGGCAATCTTGCCATCCATCAACATTTATTTTGTAGGTTATGAGATGAGTTGTTTTTGTTTGTTCCGTTTGTGTTTATTTGATTGCAGATTTTGATTTTTTAATTTTTTCACTGTGAATTAGGCACTTGAGGTTTCGTTAGTTTAATTGTTTTCATAACAAAAACATAAATATTTAAATATAATCATGTCATGTCAAAGTCAAAAATCACGTGACTTGCAGCGACGTATTTTGATTGGCCGCGCATAGCACAGCTCCATAAGTTTTTCAATTTTATGGAAAATCTTATGCAAAAGCAATATGGCTGCTCCTATTCAGCTTGGGATTGGTCGAATTCCTTATGCGCCAATGCTATGCAATTATGCAGGTTTGTCTGGGATGGCCTTTATGTTATTCCGGCAGGCCCATTCTCTACAAACAGCAATAGTTGTATTCCTTTCACACCTAGGAGGAGCTCCGGAACAGCTCCGGGGCGTTGCGCGCTTATTCCTTTCGAAAAGTGTTTGTTGCACACGCATATCTGCCTTTCAAATCGGGGTCGACTAACACCGGAGCGAGTAGCCCTAAGGCGATTTTCAGCCTGGAATGATTATTTATCGGTAAATACCGTGGTTATTCTTTTGGTTAACAACTTTGACAACCAAGTGTGACGTCACAGCCCCCCACCACTCAGGAATCATAACCCAAGGAACTGACCGCTGAAATGATTTGGTTATAGCAGTGTAGGATTATGTTTATTATTCCTATTTGTTTTTTCGTTCCAACAATGGTTTGTTGTTTAGGTACAAAAAATGGAGCTGAACCTCTCGTTAGCCTCGTTTATCGAACAGATTTTCTTTGGGGATGATCTAAACCTCGATCTAAACATGGTGAATTGCAGTGAGTGAGTGAATGTATACTTCTTTCATTGTGCCAAGCTACAACGCAACTGCAAAATCACAAAACACCAATACAAATTCCAAAAATAATAACAATAACATCAAAAAGCTGTAACCAAAAGATTAACCCAAGTCCAAAGCTGAGTTATAATCGGTTATAAGTGGTAAATACCAAAAGCAAATCAGATGATATGTGACGTAACAACTTCCCCTACTTTGGTTAAAACCGTGACGGCGGAAATGCATTGGTTATAACCAAATAATAATCATTCCAGGCTGAAAATCGCCTCTAGTGTTTTAAACTCTTGGAAGGAATGCAACTATTTACATAGCAACCGGTTGAAAGTTGCTTTTAAGCGTTTCCTATTGGTAGATCTAGTGCGGAACCAGTGCAATTTTCTCTATTTCTGTCTTTTTCTTCTACAGGTCGATTGAAAGGATGCAAATACACTCAGTGCGCACTGAATCTACCAATCGAGAACACCATTAGAATAGAAAACTCGCGTTTGACAGTGACTTGACCCTAAATTTCTTGTGTCATCAGTCATCTGAATCTGTGTCAGTCATCGTCCCTTGTGTTTACCTTTGACGTTGGGGATTTTAAAATAATTAATTCCAGCTTTTTACAAATTTCTTTTCAAAATATTTCTAAATTATTATGAGTGTGCTATTTTTAGGTCTCAAAACTCACAAAATTGAGCAATAAGCAGCAAAATACGCAGTCAGCACAGAAAATGACACACCGTGTGTTCGGTATTTTGATCAGAGTTCTCCGAGCTTAAATTCACCGTTCGTTTATACAAAAAGTGTACTCGGAGCAGGCTCATTTGCGTTCGTTTATCAAAATTTCGAGCACTCGGATACTGCGTTCAACTGCTCTGTTCGCTCGCTGGTCACGTGATTATGGTTCAGCACAGCACGCTCTTTTGTACCGAACGCAAGGACAATATTAAACCAAGAAAATCTTTTGTGTGCCAACAATCCGCCAAAAAAAGTCACGTGGTTTGGATTGCCTAATTAGGGAATCCAAACCACGTGACTTTTGCCAACCAGCCAGCATTTTGAAATTTTTATGAGGTTAGAATACGGGTTGTTACATGTCAACGACGTCAGAAAACTGTCAGATTTGAGTACTCGCCCCGTGTATTGATAAAGCCTAGTACTCATAACCACGAAATTTGCTCTTATTTGACATTGCTTCGACAATTTGACGTTTAATTGATTCACGCATAAAACGTCAAATTGTCGAAGCAATGCCAAAAAACAGGGAATTTCGCTGTTATGAGTACTAGCACAGCCTCCTACATTTAACAAGCCATGAAGTTAAAAGGGCAACACCGCAATCTTACCGCCAAGTGGTGCTGGTGCCGCTGGTGGTGTTTGTTTGTATAAATATATATTTTTTATTTTATTAATATGAATCACAAAAAATGCATAATTTATTGTAATAAAGGGCCAAAAACAGTAATTCAATGAATAATTTAACTATTTGTGTAAATAAGAACAGTAAATAATTGATTTAAATGAATATATTTCTAGAGTCTAAAGGGTTATGTTTCAGTATGTCTTTTGAAAATCTAACTTTTTCTTTCTTCGGGATTTTTTCGGAAGGCGTCCATTCAAATACTTGAGCTGATTTTCGAAAATAAGAGGTACCTGGTACCTACTTTTAAGAGTTGGACGTTTTAGTTTGAACTCTCGAACTACGCCTTTATCCTTGTTTGTTTCAAATCTAATTATTTCGGTTTCTTCAAAATGCTTACAACACACCACAGAATTTTTCGTTATTGTATAATCTCGGGTATAATTATCTTGGTGTATTCCTTTCATCCACATTTTTTGCACTTCAGAATTTTTTTGGAAATAAAAATGTTTGCATTTCTTCAGTTTTTAAGGAACTCCTAATAGTTCGATTTGCACCCAGGAACACAGTAGTTGCATGGCCTCTGGAACAAGTTTAAATATCTTAGGTAATATATCGAGACCTATGCTCTTGCAGACAAATATTAATATTGTTTTTATTGTTTTACCTTACCTTACCTTCATTTTTGCTCCTGTACTCATTTGCTAAAAATTAGCAATCAAAGCACAAAGGAACAGGTATCAACTACATATGGGCAATATATTGGTGTGTTTCTATCCACTTTTTCGTCAATAATGCCCATAAAAATACTAAATTGCAACAATACACAATGAAAGCAATACACAGAAACACATAACCCAATAACAAAATAGCACCATACGCGACGTTGCCGTCATTTCCAACTTCATGGCTTGTTAACTATAGGAGGCAGTGGTACTAGGCTTAATCCTGGCAAAAAAAAAACCTATGTTTTTTGTTTATTGTTTGCCAACCAGACGCCATTTGAACAGGTCGTTGGATTGCCTAATTATCTGCGGTCGCAAGTTACAGAATAAGCTGGAAGATTTTTGAACTGTTTTTTTAAACATACTTACCTAATATAAAAATACAATAACTTGAGATTGTATAAACTAGGAATACGTAGGGCGATGCTTAAAAGTAGCACCGGGCGCAAAAGTACCCTAAAGCGGCACTGGTAACACCCCGATGAAAGCCTGCCGCACAAGCTTGTCATATGATAATCAAACCGTGAGCTGAAATCCACAAATAGACCCAAAAATTTCGCTGAATAGCCAGTCTCGATCACTTCGCTGCCAACCGAAACAACGTCACCCAGGTCTCCCTTGAAATTTAGAATAAATGTTTTGCTGAGCTTACTTGATTCACACCAATCCCCAACTGCCTTCAGTTCAACTCCAACGATGGCTCATGGGTCTCCTGTGTTGCCATAGAATGGTACTTTCTTCAGCAAATGTGCAAACGATGTGAAATAGCCTTGAGAAATTGAGTGTGGAAGGTCATTAACATCGATGAGGACTAGCAGGGGCCCCAACAATGACCTTTGCGAAACTCCAGCAGAGACCCACAGCAGACTGCTCACCCTGAAACTTCATAACCTGCTACTGCCCTGAAAGATAGGGCCTAAACCAGCGCAAAATCGTGCCTCTAGAGGCACATGTAGGTGTTCCTCAGCAACCATACAGACTCAAAAAAGAAAGAGTCCGGTACAGACAGGTATTGGAGATATTGCACAGGTTCCCCTGTGCTCAACTCCATTGAACAAACAATATGAGAAATAAAAAAAAAAAAACAGGAAACATTCCCATATCAAAATTTTATTGCAACATTTTAAAGTACAAGTAACTTCAGACTTAAATTCTAAATTTTATATTTTGTTTATTTTGTTAGAAATTAGGTGGTATATATAGGTACTATCGACAGCTTCAAATTCAACATCTACCATTGCATTGCAGATCATGTGTAATCATTTCGAAGAAGCACATCTTCAGGAATGGGGGGGTAGCTTCCCCGTAATGTGCCAATCCAAAACTGACAATATCACCATGAGCCAGTACTTGGTTGCCGCCTGATGGCAAAGCTATTCCATTGACGAAAGTTCCAAAAGCAGTCTAGAAGAGAAAAAATTCATGATTGAATGTGAAAATTAATTATTCAGACAAAATCCCAAACTTACGACTAGATCTCTGAGCATTAGGTTTCCATCAACGTCCACTACAAAAACTGCATGTCGGCGAGATAAATAGGCCGATTCGAGATACAAACCGGCTTCTTTACTTCGCCCTACATCAGTTTCCGCTAAACTTTCCAACTGGATGATCGATTGGGTGAAGATTTGCCTCAAACTCCATTTTGCAGGACTCTGATACTCCATGGTACGGTACACGAATCAAAAGTTAAATGAAAAAAATGACTATAAATTAATCGCCGAATGCGATTCATTCACGGTTGCGACTGACTGGTATACCACAAACGCATTGTCTCACAGTAAGTTATCAACATGTTGATAAGACTCAAGAAACTAATAGTTAATGGCCAATTGTTTTAGTAGCAACATACCTTAGTTTTACGATTAATTATAAATGATTAATTTTTATTGCTCACAAATCGTATACACACATATTACTTTTGTTTGTAGGGAAGTAAAGAATTTGAGAATTTCACGTATAAACTCATAATAATTTTATTAATTAAGTTGTTTGAACAATATAATAGAAAATATTCGGACAGTACATTGAATTAATCTAGCAGTAGGGTGAAGACTGCCAAAAAAATATAAAGGAGAACAACAACTGTTTTACTGAAAATAAGTGCAAGACTTAAATTCTAACGCATTTATAGGATTGATTTCCAATGGCCAAAAATTATATCAGGCCCTCAGGAGGCTTCCTATTATTTAATTTTTTTTCAAATGAAGATCTTTGGAGGATGTCAAACTTTGACAGCCTTGACATTTTTCACCCAGTGGGAATAAGAATTGTATAAGTTGATATATAATGTCCTTCGTTCGCACATTTTTTCTTCTTCCGGTTTGATTTTTCTATAGTAGGTCTACTTAGACGTATCGCAGTTTCTTAAGTATTGAGAGGCTTAACTGGAGATTGGAAACGAAGATTATGTGTGTTGTCACACCTGCACCCCCTTTCTTGTGTAAAATAACAATAAATAAGGAAAAGTACGCAAATATTGGAATTTCTGTCTTTTTTGTTACTAAAGAGGATGTGTTGAGAGTAGTTTTTTTTTTTTTTTCAATCTAGGGCGCGAAATGCTACTTTGGTGGATCACCAAAATATTTCGCGCCCGAGTTGCAAACAATATTTTTTCTGCAACTCCATTTAAATATCGATCATTCGAAGCTAAAATTGCATTTTCAAATAAAAGTAGGTGAATTTTAATTATTTTTGGTTTCCTGACAGGTATGTGTCACCATGACACCCAGTGTGCGAACTAGCTATTTCGCGCACACGTGCGCGAAATAGCTAGTTCGCGCACGGCGTCATGGGAACGTTAAAAAATCAATACCTGGGAAAAAAAGTGTCACTTCGCAAACTGTCATGAGTGTGCGAACATCATCATTTTTTGACAGTTGTAGAAAAAACATTTTTTTCTAATTTTTTATTTTCATTAATTTGTAACTGAACACCAAATAGTATAATCCATAACGAGTGTAAAAGCGCGGAATAATCAAAATTCGACACGAGATTTCTTTTGGTTCTACGAGTTTAGAATCCTGAAGTCCTTGTATCAATACAAGAAAAAAAGTTTTTCCGTTATTACAAGTGTAGCAAATTAATGTTTTTATATACAGGGTGACAATTTGGAAATTAGCAATCGGGAATATCTCTTAGACAAAAAATACTATCATAAGAAGATCTCAAATATACGTATCGTGGGATTGGAGGGGGAACCAAAATTAAGCACTTTTTGCGTCACCCCGCATGCCCCCTTAGGGTGTAGCTACCCTAACGTATTTTTTTCAAATAAGAACCTACCTTGTGTTGTACATCGTTGGATAGCTCGTTGCTTTTCCTTCATAGTCTTATAGCAAAATCTTGAATTATACGATTAGTTTTCGAAATATCGGTGTTTGAAAGTAAGCACATTTTGAAAACTAGTAATTTTGACTATCTTTGAGTAATAGCAGTAGTAGTAGTAGTACTCTACTTTACCGAACTCTCTATCGTTTAGGGTTTTCGAAAAAAATCGAGTTTGAAGTTTTGGACAAAATGTCAACCAAATTCCAACTTTGAAGCTCAATATCCCGGAAACTTCACAAGTTACAAAAACCTATTTTGCAGGGCTGATACAGAATTTAATACTCTTTCTAATGATGCATAGTTGTAGGCAATTTTCTCAAATATCATTGAAGATATGAGCAATTATCCATGTCAAGCATGTCGAGATTTCGAAATATGTCCAAATCCAAAAATTAGATTTCCTTTTTGGATTTTTTTTCTCATCGAAATTTTCAAATGATACTGATATTAGAGTTGTTTCTGACTAATTTGAACTCGCTCTATCGATTCAAAAAGTCAGAATTCAGAAAAATACAAAAATAAAAAATTTCAGTTTTTGGTACTTTTTCCTAAGCCCCCTTTGAATTTTAATTTGCAAATCTTCAAACCTGAATATCTCGGTAACCAAGAGCGTTACCGTGACAAAATTCTTTAATGGCAGCTCACAAATATTGCTTCAAAATGGTACTTTACTGAAATCTCTATCGTTTAAGGTTTTTGAGAAAATCGAGTTTGAAGTTTTGAACTTCAAATTTGAAGTCTAATATCTCCGAAATTTTACAAGTAACAAAAACCAGTTTTGCAGGGCTTATAGAGAATTTAATACTCTCTCCAATGATGTATAATTGTAGCCAAGTTTTTCAAATTCCATTGAAGATATGAGCAATTATTCAGGAGCATGTCAAAATGTCAATAAATCTCCATAGCCAAAAATGGGATTTCTTTTTGGATTTTTTTTCTCATAGAAATTTTCAAATGTAACCGATGTTAGAGCTGTTTCTGTTTAATTTGGACTTGCTCTATCGATTTGAAAACTCAGAATTGAGAAAAATCCAAAATTAAAAATTTTCAGTTTTTGGTACTTTTTCCTTTTTTTCCTAAGGGTACTCCTTTCGAATTTTAATTTGCAAATCTTCAAACGTAAATATCTCGGTAACCAAAAGCGGTAGCAGGACAAAATTATCTTTTCTTAAAGCAGTGAGTGCTAGGGTATCTGCTTTTTCGTTCGGCTAGGATCTCATTTGTTGCACGATTACACTATATAAGGTAAATTTAGCAGTGGGGCACTACCGAATACCAGTGAGAAATGGTTGAATTATGATTCGCTGTTGGGTGTCAGCTGTACAACGTGGTTTCAAGTGAATTCAGCCTGATGGGACTTTAATAGAATGCTCTTCAACTTTGCCAGACAAAATTGTTTTTGTGTTTTCCAGATGGAGTCAAGTGATTATGTTCTATATTGTAGCTGAAATGAAAATGTCACGCTTCTAATGAGGAATAAAAAACCTTTCAAAGGAGGTATCACACGTGATAGTTTTTCATTTTAGAAAACTCATTAGGAGAAGCTTGCCCCAAGACAGGAGGGGTAGGGGTTAGGCAGGGCCGGCTCCAGGACCCGTGCAGCCTGTGCCCCTTCACGGGGCGGCAAAATCAAAGGGCGACGAAATCGAAGGGCGGCAAAATCGAAGGGCGGCAAAAATCTCGAGGAAAATTCTTGGATGAAAAAAATCACATTACAAATCACAATAGCTTCATGATTTATTTCATCAATTATAGCGTTCTCCTGCTACTGCCAGACTGGACTTGGTGCCATCAATGAAACCAAATAAAACATATTCGGGTTTTTGCAAACTCTGATCAATTCCAAACGATCTGAGAAAAGTTCTAAGGACTGAAAAAGTAAGCAACTAGTTCTGCGCAGTTCCAGGATGGTTCGCGAACAGTTCTGAAAACGAGAACCCGAAAGCACCTATCGCTAGCCTAATTTGACGCGTCCGCTCAGCGATTTGCAGGAAAAAAGTATAGTATGAAGATTATCGAAGTGACTATTTATACGTCTGTGATGTATATGAGTTTCGGTATACGTCTTGTACTCTTAAGCTTACTTTTCATGCATCCGTTTTTTCGTCAATCCGTTGATCCGGAAATGTCCATGATCCGGAAGTATTCCTATTGGTCCAATATTTTGGCGCCCAAAGGAAGCGTCAATTGTAATTGAGAATGGTCAAATGTAATTGAGTAAGCGTTGAATGTAGTTGAGAATAGTTAAATGGGATTCAGAATTCGTTAAGTGTAATTGAGAATTGTCAAATGTAATTGAGAAAGTGTCAAATGTAATTGAGAAAACGTGAAATGTAATTTAGAGAGCATCAAATGAGATTCAGAATAGGTCAAATGAAATTGAGATCATGAAAATTCGAAAATTTCATATACAAAGTGCCACAAATTCATGAGAATTTATGGAGATATCAGATATTAATTGTTCGATTATTTTCCACAGTTTCGAATTTTGCATGATCTCATTTGATGCTTTCTGAATTACATTTAACGTTTTCTCAATTATATTTGACGCTTTTTCAATAACATTTGATTATTCTCGACTACAAATAACGCATTCTCAATTACATTTGACAGTTTCTCAATTACATATGAATATTCTCATTTATTCTCAATTACAATTAATGCATTCTAAATAACATTTAACTATTCTCAATTACATTTGACGGTGACTGAAATAGATTTAACTGTTTCTCAATTACAATTGGAAAAGGTGTAGTCCAATGGTGATATATTTATAATTTTTGACAAATTTCCCAAAAATTATCGATAATTTTCATTGCACTCGGTATATTACAATTGAAAATTTCAAACCTGTATTTTAAACTAAAGGCGCTTATTTTGAAATGTTTCCATGAGAATCGGAAAAATTTCTGGAAATTTGTCTCTTCGTGGCGGGTGGGTACCTGACTGGCAAAAATTGTGACTTACTGAGACGAATTTGAATTTCAAATAAACCCACTGGCGAAATTACACTGCGAAGACCATACGTGCCCAAATCGTGATTCAGATTTTATTTTCGAATTCACGAATATTATGAAAATTATCCCGAGTTGAGTCAAAATTCCTGGAAAATGTAGGAGTACAAGACATATACCGAAACTCGGATACGTCGGACGTGACGTATACCGAAACTGGTATACGTCATATAAATAGCCACTTCGTATGTCGGACGTATACTTATATCAGTATTCGTCCGAAAAAGTCACGTGACTCAACTCTCAACTCACTCAACTACCAATAAGAGTACAAGACGTATACCGAAACTCGTATACGTCGGACGTATAAATATAGCCACTTCGTAAAACTATTCCATAGAAT